AAGTAGTTTTCAAGATGAATCTGTTACTAAAAATCTGTCAAGGTACAATATTAGGAGGTGGAAGCCAGGGCTACTAGTCTGAAAACATTCTGCCTATGCCCTCATGAAAATGTCTCATGATCAGTTCTCATTCCCCAACACAGCGTTCATTTAAAATCCATTTCTAGCATCAAACACAGGCAGGGAAGCAGCTCTCTTAGATCAGGGACAGTGTCAGGTTCTGATTGCAGCAGGAATCTCACCATAACATCACTTCTCACTCACTTCACAGGACCAGTCATCTCTTTGCAGGGAGTTTTATCTCCTGGACCAGATGAAGCAACGGCTCTTCTCTGAGGAGAACTGAAAGCCCTGTTGTTGATTTTTCAGTGAAGGAATTTCAGAGGTCTCAGTTCACTCCCAATAAAAAATACCATGATATTTAGCCTGCGCCTCAGTGTTCACAAATCATAACAATATCTGCCTTAATTAAATCTGTTAAAGAGAAAGAGGACACCCTTTGGGATGTAGATTTAGTGCGAGACTGTTTATCAAGTGTAGATAATGCTAATTGTTCCCATGGAGACTTATCAGCGGTGCTCGTTAGATTATTAGGCTTTGGCCTGGCATCCTGTACACTTGAATTAAGCAGCTCAGCACAGGTGGGTGGGGGAGTGTCCTGTTTGCAAAGTTGCTGCTGCTCCTGGGCCAGCTGCTCCTGGGCCAGCTACTCTGTTGGCATTTGTGCATGGCCTGGACATCTAATACTGTCTACAGGAAGAAGAAAGCTCATTTACACCCGTTGCGTTTGCATGGCTGCTCCTCAGCTAGTGAGCCGCTAACACCATCTGCTCCTGTGCCTCATCATGGCAAACCCATGGCAGCAACTGCCTGCTCAACTCTCTGGCTTACGTCAGCAAATCTGGCAACTACGTTTTGAAGCCCACACTATGCAACCGTTTTGATGATGGTTCCAAGGCAGCTCTGACCATACAGCATTAGGAACGAGTCCAAAGAACTAGCCTTTTATGAACAAATTCCCCGCACAGAATCCTCCTGCTGTCACGAGTGCTTACTTATCTCTGTCATGTTGCTAGCGACCAACAGGCAGAGCAGCCACTATGGTGCCCTGTTTGGGTTCTAGAGGTATCTCTATCCTGCCCTATATGTAATTCTTCCTGTGTTCTGAACAAAAATGCTTCATGATCAGCCAGTAGGATCCAAACCATTGTTGCCTGGAATGCAGGGGGTTTGGGCTCCTAATTGTAGTCTGTTCTGAGCAGAAGATTGTTGCCAGTGCCCAGAATGAATTCCTCACTCCACCCGTGCAGGACTCACTGGGAAACCAATTCCCATACAGCTAGAGTAACATTTAAAGGGCATATATGACTCTCCAAAATCGGCAAGGGAATCAAGAGGTTTTGTCTGGAAATGTACCAGTTTTTTAACTAATTTCTAAAGACCTTACCTGCTGATTACCATGCTTGATGATCTAGACTAAAGGAAACAAGTGTCAGGACTCTAGGGTACCCAGGACAAGGGCGGTGTCCGACACTTCTTACATCCTGACTCAAGCCCCCTGTGTTTTCTCCGGATTTGGTTGCTCAGCTTACATAACTGGGTTGATGAAAGCAAGACTCTTGGTCTGAAGGTCCCTGAGACAGACTTTCTAATTTCTTCCTTACTGCACATTAATCGGGTCCCCATACATGACAGACATATTCCCTTACCTTGAAAGGAACTGCAGATTTGTAAGAGTCTGGAACCTCCCAGCTAAGTAGCACTGATGTTTTCATCACAGCACTGACAGCGAAAGTTCTTTGCAAACACTGGCAATTAGAAAGAATCTTTTGACGTGGCCCCCGTGAGGCAACACTGGGCAACCCTTTCCCTTCCACTCTTCTCAGTAGCAGCAAAATTTGGTGTTTTCTTGTAGATTCAATAAGCCTTCTCGCACCTTAGGACACTTAAGCTTTTTGACCAGACTGAGTTGCCACCTTCCCCTCTTTGTCATAGACTGTGTACAAACTATATATTTAAAGCACGTTCAAAGTATATTCTTTCTCTGGGCCCTGTAGTTTGTTATGGGTTGCTAGGATTTTTAACACTGCAAGAGGTAAACTACAGTGCCCTGAATTCTTTGAGGAAAATAATGTGTTCCGATTGTACTGTAAAGGTATAGTGTGTACACAGCAATCTTCAAAAGGTAGCAGTTATAAGGCACTGTTTCTTCACAGAAGCTGCCTGTTCAGTTTGCACCAAAGCAACAATTCTTATCTGGAAACAGAAAATGGGGTATGTGTTTGAAAAAACAAATGCAGTCATGCAACCTCTATGCCCCCCCCATCCAAAAAATTATAAGCTCAGGAAGGTAAGACTGACCAGGTCATCTCTGACCTGTTTTCTGCCATAGAGGTTCATTAACTGATCACAGGGGAGGCGCTTACCTTGTTCCATCGGCATCGTCCTAGACTGAATGCTGGGGCTGAGAGGGCCAGCTCCCTTGTTAGTGTGGGCTCTAACTTTGATGTCATAGGTTGTGTCAGGTTTGAGGTTGGTCAGAGTGATGCTCGTTTCCCTCGTAACATTGGTCAGGTTCTGCTGGCTGTTAATGTCTCTGTACACAACTGTGTAGTTGGTCATTTTCCCATTCCTCTCCGCCAGAAGTGGAGGCTCCCAAGTCACTTTGGTGGTGGAGGTGGTCAGCCCCACCACGTGCAGGTTCTGGGGGAAACCGCTTGGCGCCTCCTCTGCGGTAGTGATTTCTTTTTCAAACTCCTCCCCAAGACCAACCCTATTCTTGGCAGCCAGCTTGAAGATGTAGGTGGCACCCTTGTAAAGGTCAGTCACGGTGAAGTGATCCACGTTCTTCTCAAAGTTCATAATCCTCATCTTCTCCTCCTCAGCATGTTTGAACTGCAGCTGGTAGCCCAGCAGCTCCCCAACCATCTCTTTAGGTGGGTGCCAATTGATCAGAGCTGTATTCATGGCTGTGGTGCTGATCATCATAGTAGGCTTGCCTGGGACTGTGGAACAAAAACAGGGTGATATGCCATAAGTGGGAGGGAGACAGAGTTCTGGCCTTTTCACTGCTGGAGTTGCTCACTCGGGAAATTTATCTACCTGCTAAGGAATATCAGCTAGCACAGCACTCCCTATCAATTTGGCGACAGATTACAGATGAAAGATCAATATGTTTGAATGCTTCCCCACATTAAAATTAGCTGCACACAAAAAAGCAGCATATCTGGCTTTTTTGCTTTGCATGCTTTCCACAGGCAGGGAGTTTACAGGGGCAATGTCCAAAAGACAAACCACCTGCAATTTGAAGTGGTTCAGTCCAGAAACAACTGCACTGTATTTATGAACATATCAGTGTTTACTCTTCCCTCCAAATTCCACAATTAAACAACAGCAACAAAACAAAATCCAAATTTTATAATGGACAAAATCTAATTTCTACATGGCTACATTTCACAAATATCCTTAACCTATATGTTTGTCTGTAAAATGTGCCTGACTTGATCATAAGATCTGATTTCTTTTGGGGAGGGGAGTTGAGAACCCTATAGTGGAAGCTATAGGATCTTAAAGGAATAGGGATGAATAAGATTATCACAAATGCCACACTTTGTGCAAGCTTCTGAAGGAATTTTGTCAGCTGCTATATTTTGTGAAAACCTTTGTGCCTGTAGTTTGCAAACACTGATAATGCAGGATGTCAGTAGGTGATGGACTGAAATTCAGATGGAACCAAACCCTGGGGCAAATTATTTAAACAGCTAATCCCTAACTTCTATAGTGTAAATTATTCCAAATGTAACTATTTCCAAAATTGCAATGAAAAATAACACTGTGATGGATACTGTCTTCAAAACTTCCTTGTATCTGACTCTTAAATCTCATCATACTTCCACAACCACTCCTTGAATCTTGCCATTTGCAGAAGCAAGCCTAGAGAAAGTAGATTTGGGACAGTATGATAAAGAAAGTGAAAGGTAATGCCATAAGATAAGAAATCAGGGCTTTAATATAAGATGTTGCAGAGAAGCCCAGACTCAAAACTGGAATCTCCGCTAGTTTGATGCAGGCAATTTTCATAGCAATCTTTATAATTTCACCACCTGTGCGAGCTGTTGAGAGCATAGCATGCTGTTTGCAATCAAAATGTGCTGTGTTTGAGCTGATGAACTGGTTCCTGCTAGGAATGTTGATGTGATGGCTGAGCAGCAACAGGATTCCAAATCTCATATATGTAGCACAAATTAAGGGCTGCTCCCTTCAAAGCTTAACACCTGCTGTATAAAATGGATGGTTTCATATCTCCGTTCCACCCACAACAGAGACACATCCTTCCCCCAAATCAGGGGAGATTGACGTGTAAATCCATCAACAACAAAACTATTCAGTATCAGCACAGTGCCAAGATAACCATTATCCTGTGCCAGACTGTGGCACTCAGAGCAAATTCACAATAGCATAGTGGTATTCTGGATTTGGGGTGAGCTGATTTGACGAAGCTGTGATGAAGCTGCCACGTGAATGTCATGGTATTTTGCCAATTCAAGGCAGAGGCATTTCCCAGCATCTATTAGCCATGGTAACTATGAGCAGAAGCGGTACAGTTCCAAATGTCAGATACTTGGGATGAACATGAGATGGTCATTGTTCTCCTGCTCTGCTTGTGGCTCCCCAGAGACATCTGACTGACTGCTGTTAACATGGCATGCCAGAATGCCTGCAAATTATCTCCATTGTAGTAAAATTGTAATGTGTGAAGCGGTTCTTAAAGAGAGGACGTTTCCATTCTTCTACTTGCTTCTCCATCACCTGCAGTTCAGTCTGCAAAACAAGGGGTTCGAGGGTACAGGTGCTTTTTTCACCTTCCTAACACTTCTTAAGATTAAAATTTCTGTCATCTTTGATTTTGGAGCTCAAAATATTAGAGTAGATTTGCCTATCAAAGATGTGTTGTAGTACTATTGGCTCACCTGCTCCACTTGTAGTAACCACCTTGTCCCTGCTGCGGGCCCCATCCCCTTTGGTGGTGTAGGCTGCGATGCTGATAGAATAGGTTGTTTCAGGTAAAAGGCCTCCTATGAGGGTTTCCTGTGGGAAACAGACATTTTTAGCTCGTTATCAAATTAAGGAAGGCAGGAATATAAGAGCATTTCTTTACTTTGGATATTTGACCCATTTAGTTTCAAAACACACAAGAAGGAAAACTGACCCTGAAGTTATATTAACTTTTTAATGAGATTACTTTGGATACAGGGCCTCCATCTCTCGCATCACTGATGACAAGTGAAAGTTGCAGTGAGAAAACATGTTCCTAGGTTGGTTGATGCAATCCAGTGTTTTCTGGCCTCTGTGAAGTAAGCCAGGGTATGTTTTGTCATAGGCTACTTTTGTTGTGTTTCCTGTGCACCTCCCTTTGCCAGAAAGCACCCATTTTCACTAAATCACGTGAACAAATCCACACATTTTTTCCTATTTCCAACATGGGATAAAAGGGTTGGTTTGTCTGGAGCAGCTTGTCAAACTCAACACTTGCAATTGCAGCAGTCGTTAGTTGCAGCCCAATTTCTAGACAAATTGCCCAGCATATAATTCTGGATAGCCAAGGATGTTCACTGCAAGAAACAGGGACCCAACAAAATACACCAAACTGAAGTGGGAAGGGAAGAACAACTTTCCCACAACTTCTACCACAAGTGAACTTGTTACTGGTCAAAGGACAACCAAGGGCTACTGAGTAGTTTCACCATTTCCATCCCGGCAAGACTGCCAGAAAGGGAAGATCAAGCTGGTGCTAACTGGAAGTAAATGTCTTTTAACAATTAATCTCTTTTTGTTCTGGTACTGACAAACTAATAATAATAATAATAATAATAATAATAATAATAATAATATACCCCCCATCCATCTGGCTGGGTTTCCCCAGCCACTCTAAAAGGCTTACAGCATATATAAAAATCAAACATTTAAAACTTCCCTCCACTTGCCTTCCCTTGTTGTCTTGTCTTTTAGTCTCTGAGCCTGGCAAGGTTCTGTGTCTTATTTTCACTTATGAACAGCACCTTCCAGCAGCATCATATATTGAATTTTAATTGTCATGAGATGCTTATCGGAGACAAAGTGCTTCCTCATATCAACAGGCCACAAACAAGCACATTCTTTTGCTATACCTGGCAGGGCAAACTGCTACGCAGTCATGTAATAAGGGCATGAAGCAGTCTTCTCTGTTCATAGTGCTGCCATTTACCCCACAGATACATGGGCAAAAGATGAAAAGGACTGGTTGTAAACCTATTGTAACAAGAAAGTAGCAGCCCTTCCATCACAGTTAAAGTGTTAACTTCAGTACTGTCAGGGAACTGCCATCGGAGGAACCGGTGGTGGAAGGGCTCACGCAGGGTGGGAGAGATTCAGCAGCTGAAGCAGGAACCAGCAGGGGGAGAGGTGGGTCTCTGGTGGAGGGGCTCACGCAGGCTGGGAGAGACTCAGCAGCTGAAGCAGGAACCAGCAGGGGGAGAGGTGGATCTCTGAGGGAAAGCGAGCAGGAGGGAGGGCTCAGGGACACGTCCAGCGAGAACAGTGGGGAGGTATCTGAAGCTCCCATAGGGAGACCCACTCCTCGCCGGAAACTGTCACGCCGTGAGTCCAGAAGACGTGTTTCCGTTAAGGAGCTTTTATGCTGGAAACGATTCCGAAAGCAACCACTGTCGGAATCTGCAAGTGACTAGAGCAGCCATGTCTGAGGGGCTCTGTCACAGACAGAAGTTTGTGGGCTTGAACAAACTCTGAGGGACTACGATTTTACGCACAAGCAGCTCATCATCCCATCACAGCATTCCGACAGTCTTTGTAAGCTGTTTGTGCAGGAGAAGGCATCATGAGCGAACCAGCCGGAACCGGGCAAGCAGGAGTTGGAGCAGGGCCAAGCCTGGAGGAAAGCTACCAGGGTGTTGGAGATCCAGCTAGCGCTGCAGACGGCAAGGCTTGAGGAGAGAAGGGCTCAGGATGCAGACAAAAGGGGAAAGCCACCCAGTTCCCCAGAAAGGTACCAGGATTGGTGCAGAAGTTTGGGGGGACCCCAAGGACTACCATGGCCTTTAGAACAGAGATGCAATATGCCCTCAATGTGCAGTTTGATGAATTCCCTGACGAGGAATCGCGAGTGGCTTTCGTGATTGGGCATCTTGAAAAGGGAGCGCGGGATTGGGTGAGACCCATGATGGCAACGAATAGTGCCGTCCTAAAGGACACAATGAAGTTCTTTCGTGCCATGGATCTGATGTTTTCCAGCGATATTGAGCAGGGAGTGGTGCGCAGGCAGCTAATGGCTTGCAAACAGGGGAGCCGATCTGTCCGTGAGTACTGGACTGAGTTCACCATGCTGGTTCACAGATTGGGGTGGGACTTATCGGCGGAACCCATTCAGATGCTATTTGAAGAAGGTCTGGCTTCGGTTGTGAAAGATGAACTGGCCCGGGGTCCCAGGGCGGATTCTATGGATCAGCTGAGCAAATCTGCGCTGACCATAGGAGCGCGCCAGGAGGCGAGAGCTTTGGAGAGGTGGGAAGGGAAGGGGGAACGTTGGAAGGAGTTCCGCATTCCAGACATTCCAGAGACAACTTTCCCGCCGGCAGAGCCGATGGAAATCGGAACAGCGCGCACGCGCGCAGTTTCAAAGCCCAGTGAAGGGGGAAAGAAGGAGGGAAAAGGCGCCCGGAAATGCTATCTCTGCCAACAGCCAGGTCACTTGCCAGAGTCTGCCCCCAGAGGAAGGAATGGCAAGGGATGGTGGGAGCTGATGAGGGTAGAGAGGAGGAAAAACCGGAGCAAGTAAAAGCCAACGCCTGGTTGCCACCGTCGGGGCACAGCAGCCAGGCCAAAGAGCAGTGAAAGTGCCCACGCCGGAACCTCCTAAACCTGCCTAGTGATCGAAGTGTCGCTAGAGCTGCAAAACGGATACCCCCTAAAGATAAAGGCGCTGTTGGACTCAGGCAGCTCCTGCAATTTCATAAGCAAGGAGTTTGCAGCTGAACACCAGATACAGACTATCCCTTTAAGCAACCCCCTGCAGGTGACCACGATCGATGGCAGGGAGTTGTTGGGAGGAGAAGTCAGCTTGCAGACAGTCCCAATGATAATGAAGGTGGCAAGGCACACCGAACTGATAGCTTTTAATGTGGCCACCTTGGGAGGAGCCCCTATTATTTGGGGATGAGCTGGCTAGCGTTACATGATCCGCTGGTGGGCTGGCATCAGAGAGTGGTTTCCTTTAGTTCAGCACATTGCTTAGAACACTGCAAAGGGGGGAAGGGTTCAGCAGGGGGCCCAGCCACCCTAGCAGGGACGGAAGTAATGGAGAAAGTGAAGGTACCACGACAATACGCAGATCTCAGCGACGTGTTCAGCGAGAAGGAAGCTGACCAACTACCCCCGCATAGACCCTTTGACTGTCAAATCAATTTACTCCCTGGGGCACAGCTTCCTGTAGGCAAGTTGTACGCCATGTCAGACAGAGAAATGCAGGAGCTAAGGGAGTTCATTGACAAGAACCTGAAGAGAGGTTTCATCAGAGTCCAGAGCCGGTGGGAGGTAGCCCAGTGTTTTTTGTGGATAAAAAAAAACACGACAAGCCGAGACTTGTGGTGTGACTTCAGGGGATTAAACGCAGTGTCAGAACCAGTGGCCTTCCCAATGCCCAGGGATTGACGACATTTTGGACCAGGGTGCGGAAGGGAAAGATTTTTACAAAGCTGGACCTAAGGGGGGCGTACAACCTGATACGTATAAGGAAAGGGGATGAATGGAAAACCACCATGTTCACCCCTTTGGGGGCATTTGAATATTTAGTTATGCCATTTGGATTACAAGCAGGGTCGGCGTGCTTCCAAGCTTTTATGAACCACGTACTGGGGCCTTGCTTTACAAGAACTTGTGTGGCCTTCCTAGATGACAGGTTGCTGATTCGTGAGAATGAGGGAGCAGCATGTGGAGCAGATGCGTCAGAAGAAGTGTAGTGAGCAGGTTGCAGGCCACCGGGGAGCTGTGAGGTGCAAATCTGGTAGCAAGGTGTCAGTTTTCATGCCAAGTGAGGTGGAGTTCCGGGGTACCGCCTGTCAGACAAGGGATTGGCCATGGGGATCCCGGCAAGGTCCAGGCAGTGCTGGAATGGAAAACACCCAAACAAAGAAGGATGTGCAGAGGTTCCTAGGGTTTGGGAACTTTATCGTAAGTTCATCCGCAACTTTGCCCACCTGACGGCGCCCATTACGGACTGTCTCAGCAGTAAGAAGAAATTTGTTTGGACTGAGGAGGCGGAGCGAGCTTTTGAGGAACTGAAAAGGGCCTTCGCCTCAGAAGAACAACTTCTGCATGTGGACTTACAAAAAAAGATGAGGGTCGAAACAGACGCATCAGACAGAGCCATAGGGGCGGTGCTTCTTCTGCAGCCGGGGAAGGAGGAGTCAGAGTGGAGACCGTGTGCCTTTTTTTCGCGAAACTGAACAAATCCGAGAGGAATTACACGGTGTATGACCGAGAACTTCTTGCTATTCATGAGGCTTTCCGGAGATGGAGGCACCTGCTAATTGGCGCACAACATAAGGTGCAAGTGTGCACTGACCACAAGAACCTAGAGTATTGGAGAACGGCACGAGTGCTCAACCAACGGCAGTTGAGATGGGCCCAGGAGTTCTCCAAATTTAACTTTGAGATTTGTTACGTGCCAGGCCCAGAGAACGTTAGGGCGGACGCTCTCTCACGCAAACCTGAATATTTGGAGGGGGAGGGAGCACCCGAAGAAAGACATGTCATTCCAGAGGACCGCTGGGTGTGTGGGGCGGCATTGGTGGGGCAAAGAGAACTGGTAGAGGGAACGGAGAATGATGAATACGCCCAGGACAAACTCAGGGGTCTCAGGAGGGAGGGAGATAAACCCGGAGGTTTTGAGGAGAAAACGGGGCGTTGTATTACAAGGGAGCGTTATATATACCTGAAGGTGATTTGAGAGAAGGTACTCAAGCAGCTGCACGATAGCCCCACAGCAGGGCATTTTGGGCAACACAAAACCATGTGGCTGGTTACCAGGGAATTTTGGTGGCCCAAGGTCAGGGAAGAT